GCAGCAGCGTTGACAGTCGAGACCTTCCTGGACCGCGTTCCTAGGAAAGAAATGTCCCGGGCCGTCCTTCAGTCCCACTTGCTCGGCGGGCGGGCGTCAGCCTCGCCGGGGAGGCAAGCAGGATAAATGAGCATCGCTGGAGAGGCACGGTAACGTGAGATGGCAAGAAACCAAACTGAGTCCAGGTAGCGATCTGCAGCTGCTAGCGGATTTGGCTTCGTGGAAACCAGAATCTAAATTTGCGTAGCGTTTGGTTTTTAAAAAAAAGTAATTTTTATTCCTATGCAATGAAGAGAAAAAAAAAAAAAAGAGATTTGTGTATTCTCAGCCCAGCTCACACTACCCGCGGTATCGCGCACACCGTTGAAACGCTTCTGTTCGCTCCGCCTGCGTCTGAGGAGGTTACCTGTATTCTAACGAACAACCTTCAGACCTGCAACACTAAAGTGATGAAAACTGACAATGCAATTTACTTTGCCTTAATGAGCTTGAGACAATGGTAGGAACAATCTGTCATGCTGTATTACGCTGAAGGAAACGTGCAGTTTTCGGTGACGATGTTTACTATTTACAGCTTTGAGGGTCTCTCCAGTGGCCTGGAACATGTGCTGAAAGCCAAACCTTAACTTTTTTTTTTTTTTTTCACTTTTTTTAAACAATATTTTAAAACTGAATTGTATTTAAATAAACTGTATTTCAACACACGCGCAAGTGTTAAAAACCCTCTCAAAATAGCAAAACTCCACAGCAAAAAAGAAAAAAAAAAAATCCTGTACCCGTTGCATTTTGTTGTAACGCCCAAGGCTGGGCACACAGTCTCGTCTAACATTCATCACGGAGTCGAAACCGTAACAAAAGGACTGTAAAACTGAACTTCTGTCCAGCAAACCGGTTCATTCCTTTCTTCAGAGCTTTCTTTGGGATTGTTTCCTTGTGTAAAGTTAAGGCTGATGTTTCTTAAAGTGGCTTATGTGTACTTTTAGGTAACGTTTTTAAATGGTGAAGTCTGGTTTTAGAGTAAGTTCAAATTCGGTCGGAAGTCTTGAGTACCTTAAAGCAACCCGAGCGTAACAGAGGAATGTTTGATGAGCCAGCAGCAGTTGCAGAGCCTTCCCTAAATCAGAGCGAGTCGTGGCTTCAGAGCTGCTAGTGAACGCTGTCCGCTTTGTCCCGAGAACAACCAAAGTTGGCAAGCCCGAACAGAGCACTTTAGTTCCACAAAATCATCCTTAATCTGTTTTTAAAAGGCACAAGTCCATCCCCCCCCCGCCCCGAAAAGTAAGGCAGCTTGTTTTAAAGCAGTAGTTCCAGCTTCACCGGCTGAAAGAAGCAGTTCTTAAAACCTATTTTTATACATCGAAAGATGGAGATTTCAAAGAACGCTATTTATTCCTATCTTTGTCCTAAAAGCATAAAAAGAAGTAGTTCTCCAGATGGATTTCACTGTGGACTAGAAATGATTTTTAAAAGTAAGACGGAAGGGAATCCCAAGTCGCCTCCCTGCAGGGGCACGGCGAAGTTAGCCATGAGTCTTCCCGCGGGGGAGCGAGCGACGTGCGCTGCGGTTTCAGAAGTGTTTTCCGTTTGGGAGCGTTGGTGATGGAAATACTCGAAATAGGACGGAATTCCCAGCAAACCCCTCCTCGCACTGGCCGTCTGCAAATCAAGCGTTAATAAATAGGCCAGGCTCGATGCTGAACAGCAGGAGAGCGAAGAGGGAAGCCTCGTTTTAGCAAGCGAGGTATCGATCAGAGAGTTCCACAATACTCTTCCTTAAAGTAACATGGCACACTCCACTTTTTGTGAAACTTTTTCATGCCGCGGTCATGAAATCTTGGCAAATTAAGCGCCAGACTTCCGAAAGTAACGGTCTAACACTAGACCTTTACCGTTACCCACAGTTCCGTTTCAGGCTACTTCTCGCCGGCAAGCTTCAGGGTGAAGGTACTCAAAAATGAAACGTGGTCTGCGGCGTTCGGCAGAGCAACGCTCCTCCTCAAAATAAAAATGACGTCGTCTGAAACCCCCGAATGTGGGTTAGCTGTCTGTTTGTTGGAGGTGACGGCCGCTCGGAGCTGTGGATTCGGGGTAGTCTAGAACGCCCGTTACCTGAGATGGATGTGGGCAAATCTGGACAGAAATCCATGGAACCGAGCGCTCGCAAGAGTCCGGAAGACGCTTCTGCTGGCCGAGGCCCCGGTAACCCTGCCCACCGCCCCCGCCCACCGCCGTCTCTTGTAATAAACCCTTGGAACTACCCGTTTGCTCTCTCAAATTTTTCTTACGTAAGCAAGAAACGTGTTGGTACTGAAGCAGAAAGCAAATCCTGTGTGTTTTCAAGTGCAGATTAACAGCTTCTCTTGGACATAACTTTCCGCTAGGAGTAAAGGAATCTCCTGCTCCCATTTGAGCCATTTCTTTTACTTCGGTCAATTCTAGTATTACAAATTGTGCATGTAACTTTATAAATATTTTAAATAGTTTTGTAAATATTTAATATTCAGCTAATTTGATTTTGAATTGTAAATGTCAAGTATTCTGGTATTGGGATTTTTATGTTTTATTATACTTTGTTAAAAGTAAAATTGTACATTTTTAGAATGTTCTCTTGTAATAACCCTTGGAACTACCCGTTTGCTCTCTCAAATTTTTCTTACGTAAGCAAGAAACGTGTTGGTACTGAAGCAGAAAGCAAATCCTGTGTGTTTTCAAGTGCAGATTAACAGCTTCTCTTGGACATAACTTTCCACTAGGAATGAAGGAAACTCCTGCTCCCATTTGAGCCATTTCTTTTACTTCGGTCAATTCTAGTATTACAAATTGTGCATGTAACTTTATAAATATTTTAAATAGTTTTGTAAATATTTAATATTCAGCTAATTTGATTTTGAATTGTAAATGTCAAGTATTCTGGTATTGGGATTTTTATGTTTTATTATACTTTGTTAAAAGTAAAATTGTACATTTTTAGAATGTTTTTATCTGAGTAAATTTAATGTATGGAAAATAAAGAGTTAAACAGAATCCCTTTGTGGTTTTTTTTTACTTTAAAGGGGCTTCATCTGTGTGGGGGCTCCTCCAGCTCCCTGGCAGTTACCAGGGACGACTTTTTCTTTTTTTTTTTTTTAATTCTCTTTATTACTTTTGCCGCCTCTCCACCCACAGACATCTGCTCGTGAATCGCAGATCTGTTACAGCGCTTGCAATTGCTCTCTTCTCCTTGACTCGGCTCCCGGCTGAGCCAAGGAAGCCGAGCTGCTCTGAAAGGGTCGGCGCTTGCTGTTTGTTACCGAGCGCGGCCGTGGCCTGACTCCAGCTGCCCCCCCGAGCCCGTACCTGGTTTCACAGGGAGGGAGGAGTTGGGGGGGGGGGGGGGG